TTTAAGAGGTAGGAAGATTGGTGCTGGATCTTTATAAAGCGACGTAATCTTCCGATTGAACGAGGCTATAATAAGCAGCTACATAATGTGGTTCTTCATGATATGGAAGAAGAGGTCATGATGGAGAGCCTCTTTAGGAGAAGCGTCACTAGCTCTAACATTGATGTGCAAGGAGATGGGCGAGCTACGCTTTCTTTGCTATTGTAGGATGACACGCATATAAGCGGTTACTTTGGTCTAGTAATCATTAGGATGTGTGAGGACATCAGATGGCAGACCATCAGTTTCATTCGAGAATGCGAGGACAATGTATGGAAAGGCGATCATGAGGGCCTTTGCATTGGATTTGGTCATTCAACGATGACCAATGCTTGCGGAAGAATTCCATTGCTGGCTCGGCTCTCGGCCATGCTGGAAAAGAGTCTAGATAGGACTCGAAGTATTTGTTCGTTTCATCGACTTTGATGAAACGGAAAGGATCACGAAGATTATGCAAGAAGGTCGGAGGGTTGTTGTGCGAACTTAATTACATTGTCAAACCACTGATGCTACGTATGTATGTTTCTATGTGTTCATAAAGTTTTGAACTTGTCATGTTTTGTTGTCGACAGCAGAGATTAAAATTACGATAATATAAGTTGCGTAAGAAAGACGCTACTATCGGGTCATACAGGGTGTCCCAAAAGTATGTATCGAACGTTTGATCGTTAATATCTCTCTTCCCAAGAAGTCTTTTGCCTTGCTTCAAGTACCATTTTGTAGAGCTAGCTTCAACTTAGATTTGCATTATAGAACGAATCACTCATTCCTCTTCATTACTGTAGGATTACGGTAGAAACTTCAAAGAGGGTTTTAAGCAATGAAAGGCCATATTTTGCCTTAGAAAGGAAATAAAACAGCCTGAAAGTTTTCACACTAGGCTAATTAGAGTTGCTGATTATAACTGTAAAGTTCCCAACTTATTATGATGCTTCATTGAGGAGTTATGCCAGGTAAGAGGTAGCGGCCATTTTTTCAATGTTCCTAAAAAGTGCGATTACACCGTTTAGAAAGCTTTGTAATCTTGTGAATAGTTGAGTATTGAACTCAGCATCCATAAAAACCCTATTACACAAGTTTTCACAATTTTTTGAAGAATTTTGGAACTGCAGCTTTTTCCACATTGACACCGTATGTTTCAAGTTTCTACCGTAATCCTACAGTAATGAAGAGAGATGGGTGATTCGTTCTTTAATGCAAATCTAAGTTGAAGCCAGCTCTACAAAATGGTACTTAAAGCAAGGCAAAAGACTTCTTGGGAAGAGAGATATTAACGATCAAACGTTCGATACATACTTTTGGGACACCCTGTATTATGCACAACTGTTATTGTTAGTCGCACGTCTCAATCGTAAAAGATTAGGTTACGCAATTAACAACCCTGTTCTAAGGTTTATCGCGACATAGAGCAGATGCGAGCATTGCGCTAATCGCGGCTAAAGGTCATAGCGCGAGGATATCAATAATCTGTCACGAGGTCACATGCTTACAACATACAAGGGCTTGCGTTGCTTTATCGCCAAAAGGAGGTCACCGCGCGCGGACAGAAGCACTGGGTTTCGCTATATTTCCTGAGAGATCGAAGCATTGCCCGTATTTCTTGCAACAGGCATGGGCTCTGCTTCAACTACGGGATTGCCGCGTTTGACAGAAATCACTCAAAGACTGCTTCACAGGAATGGATTCCATAAGGAAATAACCGGATACGCTGCAAAGCACGAACTGGAATGCGGCATATAATTTCTACGTATTTCAGTCCTTACAATTGCGGTGAATTGTTCTTGTTTGGCAAGTAAGAAAAGCACGTGCAACTTCCAAGAATTTTCAGAAATGTAGCGATTTCTTAATCTAGCGAAATCATGCAAAATAGACACTTCAACTTGGTTCAAAATGCTTGAATTTTGGAAGCAATTTGCTCAGCTTACAGAATGTTTTCAAATAACCGCACTACTGTGATACCGTTTTGATAAAGTTGATATTTTTTTGTGCAAAATTCTATCGTAACACATCACATACTGTCCAAAAAGATTGCAGTAGTCATCCTTTGACAGAGCTTTCTCATTAGATTATCCAGCGTTGGAGGAAAGCCGAAGACTTTTTCCTGAAAATGAAAGAAAGGTAGTTGATTTTTGAATTTCGCTCATAGATTATGGTAGTTACATAAAGGAAGGATGTTCGACAGCGTTCTGAAAACCTATGAGAAAACCTTGAGTAACAACAGCTCGCTGAATGGGACTTCGCGTGCGAAGGTAAATTAAATCGTTGATGAAACATGAAACAAAATTATCAAGAACGCAAATACGATAGTAAAATATGCAGATATATTCAATACTAAAAGATCTAGCACGAAAAGAACATGTAGGAGAGATGCACGGACTGCTTGAGAAGTATAGGAGCTAACGCTGCACTACAAGTTAGTTTCTACTTGCTGTGATATGCGCTTAATGGTAAACGCTTCAACTTCAGTACTGAGCAGCTAAAGTTTTACCAGGAGTCGCTGTTATTGCTATTGGAATAGGAATTGGGAAGCTTGTGTACGATGGCGTAGCAAGCCTATTTCACAAGTGTGCAGTAGGGGAATTAGAGCAAAGTGTAGGTTCCGTGCTCTAGTCGTCATGTAAATTCTGTATCTGTTCTAGAGGGTGTTGAAGGATCTTGTAACGGTAAGATACATCGTTGCAAACGCCGCACTTCACAATTCGTTATGGCTATGTGTTTGACAAGTTAAAACACAGCTAATCCTTGCCATGCAAATTGCTTTCACCGAAATCTTTCTTCACGGTCGTGCCTCTTGACTTATTAGCCATCGTGGCGAGAAGAATCTGTTATCGGCGATTGGAGTTCTAATGGGACTAAAGCTTTATAATGCTTCCATGTTGAAGAAGCGTTATTTCTTGGCTGGAGAGACTTTACGAGCGGGGGTACTTCCAATGAATAAAAACGCAATGGAAGTAGAGGCAAACACTTGTTTTCAAATCTGAGGCTTAGATAATCGAACGCTTTGCAGGTGTGCTATCTCACTACAAAAGAAGACGATTTGGGATACTTAATGCGCATTGTGATTCTTGGAAAGTTCAGCGACGGTAGTGCAGTTTACGCAAACCATAATCTTGGCAAGCACTATATTGTACCGTTGTCGATGAACATTAAAAATGTGGGCGCACTGGCAGAAGTTCGCGATATCGATGGCGACTGCACTACGATGTCGTCGATGCTTCTTTGCAAAACACGACGGCAAAGAAATGATTGTGCTTTGGATCGTAGCAAACGTCAGGGCTGCGCTGTAGTGACGCATAACTCTACGAATGAAGCACAGTAAGTTCCAAGACATTATAATCCGTAGTAAATCAGTGACTCGACTGGTGCGGGCCTACGTTGAAAGTAGGACGCCTCAGTCCAGCATCCAGTGAGCTATTGATCTGGATGCGGATCGCTTTTTAATCATAATAATCATGTATGCTTTGAAAAAGGAACCACTTGAGCCTGATTGGTCGAACAGGTAAGCGACTGGAATTGAAGCGCGCGGCCATAGTTCAACACCGGCTAGCGTCACAGTTTTGCTGTATCGCCTGGCGTCTTTAAGCGGCCATTATCGCAAAATCGATGATGACCGCTGTCAAGGATTTCGCCTAGCACATGCATTAATAAAAGAAAAGCACATTTTCTGAGAATTTCGTGTAAAAATGAAATGGTTACAGTATGAACTCAATGAATTAAATCAATAAATTCTTGCCATGAGAAGCTTTTCGAAACAAGTCGGCAAATTTTACAAAAAAGAAAAAAATCTGTTTTCTTCTTTTCCACGGCAAAATCAGCTGTTCATCGATTCTCTCCCTTTCGGGCCCCCGTATTGTGCAGTTTTGCGCCTATTTTGTAGGCAATGTCAGGCGAATTGATGTGTATCGTAAGTTACTCAGGAGCAACTCAGGGGAGTCTTCTCTGCGTCTTCTCTTTTGCACAATATTTGCATTCGTCTAACATCACTTCACATTCATCTCAATCGAACGTGAACTAATGTGCAACAGTTGACTGCAGCAGGTGGACGGATAGCCAATTGTCAGTTCACTTGCCATGCTTATCGCATGGGAAGGTGACGGTCGTCATTTTAACCTGACGTAAGCCAACTGATGGGTTAAGTTCACTTTACGTGAACTGATCGAGCTTTACTACGGGCCTATCTTTAATCGATACTTTTGCTTTCGTATATTGACGACGTATGTCGTTTTAGCTTACGGTTGTAGAGCCAGTGCAGAGAACTATAGTGATAGCCATCCGGATGTTCGTGGATGTCTTATACAGCCGATCAGGTTGCATGGAACAAGGTTGCAATTCCACAGCCCGTCACTGTAGTAGAAATATCGAATGGGGCACTGCTTCATGTGGGAGGTGAAAGAGGTGAAGCCAAGGGTGACTACATGCAATTTAACACTGGAGCTAAACGTCATACTACCGGCACGCATGAAATTGATTATGTAACAGAAGAAACAGTTTGAAGCGCTCAAATTTACTCCTAGATCTCAAATTAGTCATTGGAACCAATAATCAGACTACGAATATGATGACCGCAGCACTTCTTCCTTTGTATTAGAAAGAATTTTGAGCATAGAACGACTAGTGCTTTCATTGTTCGCCATGTTGTTTGGGCTCGTCTTTTTAGCTATCTATCACATTTATTATCAATTGAAATTGATTAGGCAATCGGTAAAAACTGCTAACTTATTGCGACAAGCTCAAAGAAGCCAATAGAATTGTTGGTGTTGATTATGCTGTAGCAAGAAAATCTACGCAGGATTCTATGGCATAAAGAGTAATGAACAAATTTTGTGCTGATTGAGAAGTGTTCTGAACACGTTTGATACTTTGTGTACTATGTGCATTGTTCATCAAATATCATCGATGTTGTTGCTCTAACTACATTTTCAAAAAAAAAATGAACAGGGTGATCATCATATTACTGAAGAATGGCTGAGCGCATTCGACGAGGGCAGAAGTACAACAGAATTGTGGAAATTGGCGATGCTGCACAGAAAAATCTAGACCAGGTGAAAAGAGAGCGTAATGTGAAATTTTTGCCAATCAAATGCATGAGGGTAGGTAATATGAAGTAGTTATACAAACTCTTTGGATAATAGTTTTTTATTGTATGTTTGTAGATATGTTTTATCCTAAACGCCCGAGTGAACCTGCTCACTTCTGTGTCGTTTGCGGAAAGCAAGGGGAGTATCGCATGAGCGAGCATCTGCTCCGAGCTCATAATGACGTGCTACCTAAAGATTTCATGGAATACAAGGTTGGTTTTATTTTACGGCTTCGATCTTTCTTTGAGTATCAAGTAATGCAAGGTATATTAGCATATCTTTCTAAATGTAGATTGTCGACCAGCTGGGACGTGGGATTACCCAATTCACTGGCGAAGCAAAAACAAACTTATCAATAGTGCGTAGACCAATAACCGATGGAGAATGGGAAATATACAACGATTTCAAACAGCAGATAAAAATGTGTGGCATACCTATTGAAGGATGAGTTATTCGATACTATAATGAGTTTACTTTTGCATTGTTAACATTTTAGCAAATTGCGTATTGCGTAATTGCGTAGCAACGCAAGTATCACTTTAGGGACATCAGGATCGCCGTATAGACCGCTACAGATATTTACGTCGTGACAAAGCCGACATCGAAAGGCAAGAGTTGCAAGAAGGCTTGAAAAATGGTTGATGCTTATGGATTCCAAAAATACACGGGATATGTTATCGCAATTGGCAGTGCAAAGCGAAGTAGCGAAGTTAAAATTGCGATATGAAGGGGAACTCACCATACAAAAAACAAGACAAGACTCCGATTCAGAAGAAGAACTTGTTTTGAGAGACGTGATGGAGCATGAACCATCGAGCCGCTCCAAACCAGCTCGTCATTCTGAAGTAAAATTTATTTCAAGCGAGGAGCTGGAGCCGTCTACTTCACGGCAAACATCCATATAACGACACCACAAAGGCAACTACTGTACACACACTTTGGTGACAAAGAGTTCCGAGATTGAAGAATTTTGCAAAAACTTTAGCGAGAATAAATTACAGTAAATGTGTAACAAATGTATAACTCCATAGGTGGAGATCAAGCGGCGGAAGTATTCAAAGCTACGCCAAAGTTCGAACTCATGTTCTCTTACGAAAAAGATTTACCGGGTTACTATTTAGAAGATTATCATGTTTCGAAAAAACATGAAAAAAGATCCATTAGCTTATCAATTATGCGTATGCGCAAAAAATGATAAGCACAACTGGACTTTTCAGATTGGCAAAGAAAAGCGGCCGAATTCAAGTATTATCGTAAATTAGACCGACAACGTCATCCACTGCTCTTACAATTCGAAGAGTTTATTCACGAAACCTTGGTAGCTATTACAATTTGCCGATGATATAATTGTGCTAGTTGATTGCACTTAAATCAATTATTGCTTGGCCGGGTGCTCCGTCGGGAAACGAAGACAAACCGAAGAACGGTATACGGAATTATCTATCGTACGTGCAT